TGCAGGAAAATTGGCAATCCCAGATTCTTGGGTGTGTTTGATTTCCATTTAATTGAAATAGAAATATAAATTTCATTTTAATTTAATTTAATTTAAAGCTGGGGGTGCTGTGAATGTACAAAAAGGGGGAGAGACTTCCCTGAGTGGGGCAGGAAAGAGAAAGTGGGGAAAAAACAGGGAAAAATAAAAGAGCAGCACACGAAATAATTGGAGAAATAAATGGCCTGGGAGGCTTTTGGAAAATAAACTGGATAAATAAAGCAGGAGCAGCTCGGTAGGATTTGGCTTTTTGAAGTTTCCTGGGCAAAGCGTGGGCAGGGAAATCCAGCCCGGCTTTGGTTGGAGTGGAGTTGGGATTTCTGCTGCTCCTTCCATCGGATTCCGTCCCTGGGACTGAATTATTCAAACCCCTGGAGGAGCTGTGTTAATTGGGGGAGTAAATTGGGAAGGGCTGGGGAGAAGAAGGGAATTGTGGCATGGAATGAGGAGGGATCCTGGGAAGAGAGGATGGGACTGAGAGCTCCTCTTGCAAATATTTCTGTTATTATTATTAGTGTTATTTTGCTGTTTATACATTTTATTCTCATAATTAATTGGTTTATTATTTTTATGTTATTTATGTATTATTGCCCTCTTGCTCCCAGCAGCAGCTCAGCTCCCCGGATCCCTGATTCCCCCAGGAACAGCAGGAAAAGGCAAGGATTTCATCCAGCTGGTGAGGGATAAACTGGCCAAACTGGGAGAACTGGGAGCAGGGATGAGGTCCTGGAGATCCCTCTGGATTTTTTGGCAAATTCTGATCCCTGAAGCAAAAAAAATGGATGTTCTTCCCAGAGCTCCCTCCAGGCTCAGCAGTTCCCCCCTGCTGAGGATTTTTGGGATGGATGCTGAGGAATTTTGGGGATGGATGCTGAGGATTTTTGGGGATGGATATGAGAATTTTTGGGGATGGATACTGAGGATTTTTAGGGATAGATGCTGAGTAATTTTGGGGATGGATACTGAGGATTTTGGGGATGGATACTGAGAATTTTTGGGGATGGATACTGAGGATTTTTGGGGATGGATGCTGAGAATTTTTGGGGATGGATGCTGAGAATTTTTGGGGATGGATACTGAGGATTTTTGGGATGGATACTGAGGATTTTTGGGATAGATACTGAGAATTTTTGGGGATGGATACTGAGGATTTTTGGGGATGGATACTGAGGATTTTGGGATGGATACTGAGGATTTTTGGGATGGATGGCGTTTCCCAATGGATTTGTTTGGGTGTGGCCACTCCAGGCCCGGTTTCACACAGATCTTGGAGGAGATGGTGGAAAAATTCCTTGGAATGTTGATCAAATCCAGGCAGTTTTGGGAAAGCAGTGACCAGCATTCCCTGCATCCCATGGGCAGCTCCAGGGGGGGATTGGGGCTGATCCCAAAACCTCTCGCTCGTGTCCATGGCTTGGAAATCCTGCTATTATGGGTAATTAAAATCTCCTAATTAAATTAAGCTCCATCTGGCTGAGCCCAGCGAGCCAAGGAGGGCGTTAATTAAAGATCCCAACGTTTGCTCTGACCCAGGGCTGGGATGGGCAAATCCCTGTCCGTGGAAAGTGCTGGAGCATCCCAAAATCCGGGTAAATCCAAGGGGATGGGGGAAAATCCAGGAATGGCTCTGCTTCCCCCAGGGAAAAAACAACTGGAAATGGGAGCAGGCATCTGGAAATCGGTGGGAATGGGGATGGGAAAGGGAATGGAATAGGAACAGGAATAGGAATAGGAACAGGAATAGGAATAGGAACAAGAACAGGAATAGGAATAGGAATAGGAACAGGAACAGGAATAGGAATAGGAATAGGAATAGGAATAGGAATAGGAATAGGGATGAAAATGGGATGGGAAAGGGAATAGGAATAGGGATGAAAATGGGGTGGGAAAGGGAGTAGGAATGAGAATGGGAATGGGAAGATTCCAGGCTGGATTTCAGCATCCAGGGGGATGTGTCAGATGCTGAGGAGAGGGAGCAGAGTTAAAACCAGGCTGCAATTCCAAAGGTTTGGAAAACTGAAGATCCCAAAATGCTCCACAGGCACAGCAGGAGCCCGGGATGCTCCAGCACTGCCTCGCTCCTGCATTTATCCGTCATTCCCTGGACAGAGTCCGGCAGGAATCTCCTTCAGAGCCGTCTCTTCCCTGGATTTGCTGCTGGAATTCTGTTTTCCTGAACAGGAAAATATTCCAGAGCTCCCGTGCCTGGAGCTCGGGATTCCCTCCCACTTTGGGCTGTTCTCCCACCGGCAGTGGGGTTTTCTCTCCTCTGGGGAAATTTTGGATGCGGTTTGGAACAGAGACATTGGAAAAGCCTGGGAATGTGGGAGCATCCCCCCCCTCCCTGTTTGATCCTCTCCTGCATTCCCGGATTTCCACAGCCACCACAATTCCGTGGAAGGTGGGAGCAGCAGCTCCCAAACCCGGGAGCTGTCCTGGAACGGGCTGGGGGCTCCTCCATCCCAGTCCTTTGAGCCGTTCCCGCGGGAGCGTTCCTGAATTATTGACGGTGTTCCCACTGCAGGCAGGGCTGGGATCTGAGCTGGGAATTCTCTGCTGAGGACTTGGAGTCTGGAGGGATTTGAGCCGAGTTTTCCATTCCTGTCCTTGGCAGTTTCCCTGTTGTTTTTTCTCCAGGCCTGAACTGTGTTTTCCATCCTCCCAAATTCCCTCTCCCGTTATCCCGCTGCTTCTCCTGCCTGTGGATCCCGGGAGCGCTGGCAGCACCGGGATGCTCCGTGCTGGGCTCCAGCATTCCCAGGAGCTGCTCCTTGATCCCAGGGGATCCAGGCACCTCCTGCAGGAGCTGGAAAAGCCCCCGCAGCCATGGAAAACGTGGCAGGAGCCAGGCTGGCACTGGAGCCATCCAGCCTCTTCCTTTGGGATTGCATCCCAATCCTTCCCCTTCCCCTTCCCCTTCCCCTTCCCCTTCCCTTCTTCCCAAAAATCCCCCCCTGGATGCTGGGAGTGTCTGGGATGGGATTCCCAAGGTTTTGGGATGGGATTGCCGAGGTTTTGGAATGGGATTCCCGAGGTTTTGGGATGGGATTCCCGAGGTTTTGGGATGCTATTCCCGAGGTTTTGGGATGGCATTCCCGAGGTTTTGGGATGGGATTCCCGAGGTTTTCCCTCCCCACGGCACAGGACGATCCAGGGATGGGGGAGGTTGGCGGTGGCAGCTCCTTCCCGGGATGGGAGGAGATCAGTCCCAGAACCTGCTGGAAAACCGGGAATGTGACATCGCTGTTTGCCGGGTTTCGGGATGATGTGGGGGGAAATCCGGGATAATTCCTGGATGGAAGCCGGGCTGGCCTGTGCAGGAACAAGCCCGGGGCACCGGGAATTCCGGGGAGGATCGGTGCCGCCTCCCGGGTTTGGGATGCGGGATTTTCCCTCGCTGCTCCTGCAGCCCCTCGCTCGCTGCCCGCGGCTCCCGGAGCAGGAATTCTCCTCTCCCGGAGCAGGAATTCTCCTCTCCCGGCTGGAATCACGGCCCGTCCTGGTCTCCTTAGAAACGCGGCTCCATCCCTCCGCCAGCCGCGCATCCTTGGAGCCTCCTCCTGCTCCCGCCCCGCCGGCGATTCTCTGCAATTTCTCCGCATTTCTCCAACTTTTGTGCGGCTTCTCCTTTGTTTGTTTGTTTGTTTGTTTGTTTGGTGTCTCCTCAATGAGATTTTAACGATTTTTTTGTCTCCTTCCTCCAGCAAACCTGAACCCTCCGGGAATATTTGTAGTTCCCCGCATTTCCCTCTCCCTCCCCTCCTGAATCCAAACCTCGCTCCCGTTATTTCCTGGAAACGTGACATTTCCCAGAGCTTTTCCCAACTTTCGGGGCTCGGTGAGGAAAAGCCTCCTCAGGGATTCCGGAGGCTCCGTGGGTTTTGGGAAGCAGCTCCCGGCTGGATGTGGGAGCTCATCCTGAAACTCCGCCAGCAGCCGGCAAAGCCCTCCCCGAGCGCTGGAGAAGGGATTTATTTTGGGGAATAAATACATTTTGGGAAGTAAAACCCTGCTCCGGGGAAAGGACCTGTCCTGTGAGGGTGGGAAGGAATTTTTGGGTTGGCCTGGTGCTCTGGATTTTGGGGAGAAAGAGAAGGGAAGTGGCTTTTTTTGGTCTTTTCTGGAGGAGGGAATGTGCCAGTGGAAGTGGGAGACGGAAGTTTGGATGTCTGGGAAGGGGAGGAGGTTGGGAATGCCCCAAAATAGGAGCCTGAAATTTGGATGTCTGGAAGGGGAGGAGATTGAGAATACCGGGAGCTGGGAATGCCCAAACAGGTGAGAGACCGAAATTTGGATGTCTGGGCAAGGGGAGGAAAGTGGGAATAGCACAAAAATGGGAGCCTGAGGTTTGGATTCCTGGGCAAGGGGAGGAAATTTGGAACGCCCACATCAAAGGGAATCTGGGAGTGCAGGTGTGGATCCCATTCCCAGGATTCGGGCCTGGATCGTGGCCATCCATCCCTCATTCCCAGCCCCGCTTTGTTTTCCCTCTGCCCACCAACACTTCCAGGAAAAACTCCAGCCCTGCAGTGCCGCCGTCAGCGCTTTATTCCCTCCCCGGGGCCACGCGGGGATTTCTGCTCCTTCCCTGGGAATGAAATCCCGGCCCTGAGCTCCTGTTCCCTTCCCAACCCTCTGCCCGGGAACGGCGCCGGGAGCGGGCAGGGATCGGGCAGGGATCGGGCAGAGATCTGGGCAGGGATTGGGACGGGGATCCGGGCTGGGATCCGGGCAGGGATTGGGACTGGGATCTGGGCAGGGATCGGGGCGGGATTGGGGCAGGGATCGGGCAGGGATCTGGGCAGGGATCCGGGCTGGGATCCGGGCAGGGATCGGGACTGGGATCAGGGCCGGGATCGGGGAAGGATCCGGGCAGGGATCGGGGCCGGGATTGGGGCAGGATCCGGGCAGAGATCGGGGCAGGGATCGGGACTGGGATCGGGACCGGGATCGGAGCAGGGATCAGGGCAGGGCAGGGATCCAGGAAGGGATTGGGGCAGGGATCAGGACACGATCAGGGCAGGACCGTGCAGGGCTCGGGTCAGGGAAGGGATGGAGGGGAGGCAGGGTGTGAATCAGCACCCAGGGGCGCCGCGTGGATCCCTCGCTGTGCCCGCACACCGGACCCGCTCCGCCGGGATTGCTCTGCCCGGGAATGCAGCTCCGAGTCCCCTGGCCTGGGGAGAGCCCCCTGCCCGTCCCGGCTCGTTTCCATCTTTGGGACGGGAGGGCTCATCCCCGCTCCTGCAGGGCCCGAGGGGTGCCCGGGGGCCGGTGGCACCAGCCGGTGACTTTTCCCCCTTTCCCGAGCTCCTCCCGGTCTCCAGGGCTCGCGGCCCTTCCTCCGGAGCCTCTTTACCCGGGATCACCAATCCAAATCCAGGCCGGTCCGTTATTGCACCGAGGAATGTGAGTCCCGACCTGGCTCTGTCCTGTTCCCACATCCCAAATCCAGCCCTGGCTCCACGTCCCGGGGCCGGGGCTGCCGCTGCCCCTCTCCCCACCGGGGAAAACGGGAAATTCTCCTCTTCCTTCCACGCTGGTGCTTTCCAGGGAGCATTTCCCGCTCCAAAGCCACCCCCGTCCCTCCAGCCGGCACCCGCGGGACCCCGGGAATCGCGGCCCGGGGATCTCAGCCCGGGAATCTCTGCCCGGGGATCTCAGCCCGGGAATCGCGGCCCGGGAATCTCTGCCCGGGGATCTCAGCCCGGGAATTGCAACCCCGGGAATCGCTGCCCGGGAATCTCTGCCCGGGAATAGCGGACCGGGAATCTCTGCCCGGGAATCTCTGCCCGGGAATCTCTGCCCGGGAATCTCTGCCCGGGAATCTCTGCCCGGGGATCTCAGCCCGGGAATCGCGGCCCGGGAATCTCTGCCCGGGAATCTCTGCCCGGGCATCGCAACCCCGGGAATCGCTGCCCGGGAATCGCTGCCCGGGAATCGCTGCCCGGGAATCTCTGCCCGGCAATCCCGGGAGGGCGGCGCGGGGCTCACCCCGAGGGGAAGTAGGGCCGGCGGCTGTGGGCGTTGTAGTCGGGGCACACCTTCTGCACCAGGCGGTAGTCGCTGCTGTAGAAGGTGATGTAGACGCAGAGGGCGCGGAAGGGCTGCGAGCAGAGCCAGGCCGCGCGGCTCTGCGTGTGCTCCTGCGAGCACGTCTTGGCCGGGTCGAAGGTGCACAGCGAAGTCTTCCTCGCCCGGGCCACCTGCTCCGACTCCACGCGGCAGTTGAACACCTTGGACTCCTTGGCCTCGATGAAGATCTGCTGCTCCAGGTCGAACTGCACGGCCTTGCTGGGGGGCACCAGGCTCACCGAGATGTTGCCGTGGCCCGTGGAGTTGTGCTGGAAGAAGACGTTGACGCTGCCGTTGCCGTGATCCACGACCTTGCCCGTGATCAGCAGGTTCAGCTTCACCGTCTTGATGTTGGAGTAAAAATCGCCCCAACCGAAAAGCTTCTGCAGCGCTCCCGGGGCCGCCCGCGGGCCGAGGTCCCGCCCGGCCCGGCCCTCCCGGGCTGCCCCGAGCTCCCGGGAGCCGCTGCCCGGCCCGGCCGGGGTCCGGTTCTGCGGCGGGGCCGGGCTCAGCCTCGGGAGGGGCTTTGGGAGGAGCAGCTCCCGCAGCTTCGGGCCCGGGGCTGTCCCGCGGGCGCGGGGCTCGCCTGGATCCGCGAGTTCCTCTGGAGCGCAGAGCACCTGGACACGGGGATGGAGGAGCTGCGGGCTGGGGGTGTCACCGAGCCCTGCCAGCCCCTCTGCAGGGTCACCGAGCCCTGCCAGCCCTTCCCAGGGTCACCGAGCCCTGCCAGCCCTCCCCAGGGTCACCGAGCCCTGCCAGCCCTTCCCAGGGTCACCGAGCCCTGCCAGCCCCTTCCCAGGGTCACCGAGCCCTGCCAGCCCTTCCCCAGGATCACTCATCCCTGCCAGCCCTTCCCCAGGGTCACCGAGCCCTGCCAGCCCTTCCCCAGGGTCACCGAGCCCTGCCAGCCCCTTCCCAGGGCCACCGAGCCCTGCCAGCCCCTCCCCAGGGTCCCTCATCCCTGCCAGCCCCTCCTCAGCCTCTCTCCCCCCATTTTCTCTTTATTCTCTGTTTTTTCCCCCGGCAGCGCCTTCTCCAGCTCTCCTCCCTCCCGGCAGCTCCGGGTTTGGCTGCGAGCAGCCGGGATGGCTCCGAGTCGTCCCCGCTGCCTCGGGGTGCAGCTCCTGCTCCCCCCGTGCCCTCACCCCCACCCCTGCCCCCGGCACGGCCCCTCCAACCCCGCCAGGCCTGGGGACACCCGGGCCGGGACAAGGGACAGCAGAGCGGAGTTGTCACCCGGGGAGCTGCCGCGGGCTGCGCTCCGCTCCGGGACCCCCAAACCGCCCCAGCCAGAGGCTGCCGGGGGGCCGGGGGCGCCCGGGGGGGCTGCAGCCCCATGGCCCGGGGCGGGGGCACCCGGGAAAGCCGCGGGGTGCCCGGGGCTGAGCCGGCCGAGGCGGCAGCGGGAGGCGGAGGGAGCCCCGGGAAGCGGAGCCCGGCCCCGGCGCTGCCCCGGCGCTGCCGCGCGGGGCTGGGGGCGAGCGGGTTTCTGGGGGGATCCGGAGCCCCCTCCCCGCCAGCCCTGCCCGCTCCCCGCGGCCAAATAACAGAAGTTTTGGGACGCGTTTTTTCCCCGGGGGCGGGCGGGGATGCGGGGACGGCTTTGGGGGTCGCTGCCGCTGCCCCCTGCCCCATCCCCGTGGCTGCGCGACCCCCGGTGCCCGCAGCCCCCGGTCCCCCCTGCGCTGCCCTCCCGGCGCTCACCAGCAGCGCGATGCTGCCCGGGAGGAGGAGGAGGACGCAGCTCCGAGGAAGATGCATTTTCCAGCCGGCGCCGCCGCCTTCTCCGCCGCTCCGGTTTGCGGAGGGTTTCGCTGGGATTTTCCTCCTTTTTCCGTCTTTCCCTCCCTTCTCCTCCAGCGTCAGCGAGGGGAAGGGGGGGTCCCCCTGCGGAGCGGCTCCCTACGGCCCCCCCGGCCCATGGTGGCCCCGGCAGCTCCCGCCCCGCGGGGCCGCTCCGGGCGAGGCGCGGCGGCTTCACCTGCGGCCGCCGCCGTCCCCGTGTCCCCTCGGCTGTCCCCTCCCCTGTCCCCCTGCCCGCCCGGCCCCCTCGGCCGCTCCCCGCCCGCCGCTGGCCGGAGTCTCAGGGAAACTCCGCTCCATCCCCGCCTCGCTCCATCCCCGCTCCGGCCCCGCTCCGCTCCCGCCTCCCCCGCCAGGTGCGGGGCCGAGCGGCACCTCCGAGTAACCCTTTGGTGCCCGCGGCCCAGCACAGCCCCCCGGAGGGGTCCCCGGGGGCTGGGGGGGTCCTGGGGGGCTCTGGCAAAGCCCCCGGTGCTCCCTCGGGAGCGGCAGCCCAGGCTGGGGCAGAACTGGGAGAACTGGAGCGAACTGGGGTGGGGAACAAGGGGGACCCGCGGGGGTCCCTGGCTCTGTCCTTGTCACCGGCATCGCCCTCTGGCCCAGGAGCGGTTCTGGATCTCGGGGGAGCGGCTCTGCCCCATCCCCCGCTCCAGGGAAGGGCAGAAGCCCCCGGTGACCTCAGCTTCAGTTCATCCACCGAGGAATGACAGAAAGGTTTGGGATCCGTGATGCCTTTTAGCCCATGGAGGGCAGCAGTTCTCCTTTTCCCACCTGCCAGGAGAAGTTGGAATACTGGGAATTAACTTCCCGTGGGCAGGACTGGGATCAAACCCGGGATTCTCCCACCCTGAGGAGAAAATCCCTTTTCCTTACATCCCTTTGTGTTCCTCTCCACATCCTTCCCTCATCCCCCCTTTTCCTGAGCTGCTTTGGGAAGCAACGACGCTAAAAATGGAGCGAATTCCCGGGAAAGATCCCGGTGTGCTGCAGGATGAGCTGATGGAGCCCTGCCGGCCCCATCTGCCCCGCAGGGCCGGCCAGATTTCCCAAAATCCCGGGGATTTTGGGCAGGGGAGGCAGGCTGGGCTCCTGCAGCGCTGCTCGGCTCCTCCTGCAATCCTTGGAACACCGAATCCCTCTGGAATTCCCACCTTGGGCAGGAATTTCCGGGCAGCTGGGTCGGATTTTATTCCCTGAGCAGCTCTCCTGGCGTGGTGGCACTTGGGGACACGGGAGGCCGGGGGGATGTGGCACCTCCCGGGGATGGATTCCTTAGGGAAAGGTGGGATTTGAGGCCTCGGGGTCTTTCCCAGCCGCTCGGCCCTTTCCCGGCCCTTTCCCGGCCCTTTCCCGGCCCTTTCCCGGCCCTTTCCCGGCCCTTTCCCAGCCGCTCGGCCCTTTCCCGGCCCTTTCCCGGCCCTTTCCCGGCCCTTTCCCGGCCCTTTCCCGGCGCTTCTTTCCCGGTTTTCTGTTGCCATCTAGCGGGACCCGGCGCTGGGAAGCGCGGCCGGGGCTGGGGGCGCTGGGGGGGCTCAGCCCGGCCGGGGCTGGGGGCGCTGGGGGGGCTCAGCCCGGCCGGGAAAGGGGGGCCCGGGGGCCGGGGAGGCTCCGGGGACCCCCAAAGCCGCTCCCCGCTCCCGGCTCTGCTTTCGGGAAGCGTTTTCCTCACGGGGATGGGAGAGAGAACGGCCGGGAACGGGAATTCCTGGGGGCGGGGGAGGTTTGGGGGGGTTTTGGGGTAGGGGAGGTTTGGGGGATTTAGGGCCCTTCCGTCCCAAACCGTGCTGGAATTCCGTGATTTTCCTCTGGGAACCTCCCACGGACCCTGAGCCCGGGAGTGTATCCCAGTCTATGAGTGGATCCCATTTCACGAGTGGATCCCAGTTCACGAGTGGATCCCGATCTGGAGCGGATCCCGGCCCAGGACCAGCGGCTGCCGCCCGAGCCCGTCCGGCCCTGATGTTTCGGGGGTAAATCGAGGCCCGGTCCCGTTGGTCCCGTTGGTCCCGTTGGTCCCGGGAAATCGAGGCCCGGTCCCGTTGGTCCCGTTGGTCCCGTTGGTCCCGGGAAAGGGGACGGCCCCGCTGACCCCCCCGGCTCCCCCGGCCCGTTTCCCGGTTTCCCGCCCCGGGGCCTCGGGGGTTTCTCCCGTTGCCGTTTCGGGCCGAGCAGGGCAGGAAGGGCTCGGGGCTGCTGCTCGGGGGTCCCGGAGCGATCCCGGAGCGATCCCGGAGCGATCCCGGGGCGATCCCACCGGATCCGGGCTGAGCACCCCGCGGGTCCCCCCGAGTGGGGGCGGCGGCTCCCGTCCCCCTTCCCACCGAGTTTTGGGGAGTAGAATTCCCTAAAAACAGCCCCAGAGGCAGCCGGAGCCTCTTCTCCGGGAGCAGCAATCCAAGGAAAGCAGCGCCGCGCCAGGGGAGTGTTTGTGCAGGGATGAGCTTTGGGCCAGGAGCCCTTCCATGAGTTTTCAGTGTAAAATGCATCTTTTTTCCCAAATAAAGCTTTAATTTACCCAAAACTCCTCCCTTGGCACAGCAGAGCCGGTGCCAGCGGCTGATCCAAACCCGGAGCCCCGAAACCAAAATCCTCGGGGGGGGAAAAATCCCATTTTCCTGCGTGTCCTGCAGGGAGGGAGCCCCGGGGGAGGGGATTGTTCCCGGAGATCCGGACCCATCCCGGCCCATTCCGATAAAAAAAAATTAATCCGGGATAAAATGGGTTCAGGGCCGGGGCCGGGGGGATCCAAACCACCGGGAAAAGCTCGGGAATGCGCGGCCCTTGGGAAGAGACGGATCCAGCACGGACAGAGCCCGGCCAGAGACCTCCCAGGCCCCAAATTCCCAAAAAAAACCATTCCCGGTTTGCGGCTGGAGCTGTTCTCAGGCGGGTTCTGGGCAGGAATCCCGCGGGGTCGCGGCTCTTCTCCAGCAGAAAACTGGGAATGCTCCAGGGCGGGGGCGGCGGGATCGAATTCCCGGGAAAAATCCGCTCGGGGGGTCGGGGGAAGGGGAGGGAAGGGAAGGGAAGGGAAGGGAAGGGAAGGGAAGGGAAGGGAAGGGAAGGGAAGGGAAGGGAAGGAAAGGAAAGGAAAGGAAAGGAAAGGAAAGGAAAGGAAAGGAAAGGAAAGGAAAGGAAAGGAAAGGAAAGGAAAGGAAAGGAAAGGAAAGGAAAGGAAAGGAAAGGAAAGGAAAGGAAAGGAAAGGAAAGGAAAGGAAAGGAAAGGAAAGGAAAGGAAAGGAAAGGAAAGGAAAGGAAAGGAAAGGAAAGGAAAGGAAAGGAAAGGAAAGGAAAGGAAAGGAAAGGAAAGGAAAGGAAAGGAAAGGAAAGGAAAGGAAAGGAAAGGAAAGGAAAGGAAAGGAAAGGAAAGGAAAGGAAAGGGGTGGTTCTGGTGCCTTTTTAGGTTTTTTTTGTCCTTTCCCAGGTTGGGAAATGTTGGGATCCCCCAGGACGGTCCCAGCCTCGCTCCGTGATTTTGGGGTGGATTTTGCTGTCGATTTTTCATTTTTTTAAATTTTCCATCCTGTTCCAAGCCTTCTCCCCCCAATTCCTGCTCCAGCTCCAGCACAAACCCCTGCCCGGGGCTCCTCCTCAGCATCCCCCGCTCGGCTGCGGGTTTGGGGTCTGGAGCCCCAAAATCCGGGGGGATCTGTGGGGGCGGGAGGGCCCTGCCAGCCCCAGCCCCGCTCCTCCTGTGGCTTTTGAGGTTTTGGCCAATTAAAGGAACAAATTGTCCATTTGTGCGAAACCCACACCGCGAATCCCGTCCCGGGGGATCCCGACCCTGCGCCAAAATCCCACCAGCAGCAGGAGAAAAAATCAATTTTTATTGGAGAAAATCGAGCGAGCCCTGAAGCTTTCTGCCTTCTGTCAACAAAACCCTTTTTGGTTTGTTTTTTTCTTTCCTGCCTTTTTCTTTTGGCTCAGATGTTCCCGGTCTCTTTTCCAAAGGGTTGGGATGAGGAGATTGGATGGAGATTTAGGGAGAGCGGGATGGGGACGCGCTCCCAGCCAGGCTTTGTCAGGAAAAAAGGCGGAATTTGGAGCTGAAATCTGTTATTTTGATACGGAGCTGATTAAAGCGCAGCTCTTTTCCAGAGAATTTCTCCAGCCTAATTGGATTTGCCTTCCCTGTTCCCGTGCGCTCCTTCTTTGGTTATTTATGGAAAACATCTGTCCGAGGCCTGGCAGCTCCCTGAGCTGGGAATTCAGGGAAAATCTTGGGGATTTTCTTTGGGAAAAACATCAAAATATCGGGGACGCTCTGGGGGGACAGTGGGGCTGCCAGGAGCCCCCGGCAGGGCAGGGAAAAACCCAAATTCCATGGGAAAAATGGAATTTTCCTGGCTGGAAAATGGAGTTTCCTCCCCCCGAGGTGCGCTGGGATGAAGCTGGGATGGTTTTTCCAGGTGGAAATCAGGATCAGCGTCCCAGCCATTAACACGGGTAATTAATCCAATTAATCCCGGGATGGATTGGTGCCACCCCAAACTTTTCCAGGCTGGTGACATCGTCGCTCTGGAGATGTCCATCCTCCCCCGGGGATTTTATGGATTTTGGGGAAGTTTTCCTCTTTTTTTCCCATTCCTGGGAGGGGGGGCTGAGGGAATTGGGGCCACTGGAGTTGAATTCCAGCAGGAATCTTCCAATTCCAGCAGAAATCTTCAAATTCCAGCAGAAATCTCCCAATTCCAGCAGGAATCTTCCAATTCCAGAGGAAACTCCCCATTCCAGCAGGAATTTCCCATTCCCGGCTCTGGCCCCAGCTGTGCGCAGCCGCCAGCCCAGCCCGGCCCCAAATCCCGGGATTTGCAGGGTGGGAAAGGGCCGGGAGCCGCAGCCCTGGAATTCCCAGGATTTGCGGCCGTTCCAGTGGGATTTTCACTGGATTCCCCCCTCACCTCCCATTTCAGTGGGAATTTCACTGGATTTTGCTCCATTTCAGTGGGAATTTCATTGGATTCCCCCATTTCAGTGGGAATTTCACAATTTTGCTCCATTTCAGTGGGAATTTCATGATTTTGCTCCATTTCAGTGGGAATTTCATGATTTTGCTCCATTTCAGTGGGAATTCCAGTGGATTCCCCCCGGCTGCAGCAGGGATCTTCTTCCCATCCCCTCTCTCGTCCCTCACCCCTTTCCCTCTGTCCCTTTTCCAGCTGGAACCTCTCCCCGTTTTTTGGGAGCCATTCCCGCCCCTCTCCCGACTT